GGCACCCCGGGGGGACCCGGAGCCGCCCGAGATCCCCGCCCGGGCCGCCGTTGCCGCCCCCGTCGGGCTCGCGCGCAGCGGGCTCGCGCGCAGCGGGCTTGCCCGCAGCGTTCCCGCCAACGTCCTCACCCAACCGGTGCGCGCGCTGGGCTCGGATCGTGTGCTGGTGCTCCTGCCGGTTGAGGAGGTGGGTGGCGGGGCGCCGGGTGACTTCCGGCTGACGGTTAGATGCGTCTTCTCTAGTCTTCCTGCCTCCTCTCCCCCTCCTCCCTTCCTCCCTCCTCTTCCCGTCGCCTCACCTCTCGGTGAGGCGTCGTGGGGCGAGCACGGCGGACACAGAGGAGGGGGAGCGGTAGAGAGGTCGCCTGCGGATCACCTCTCCCCCCTTCTCCCTCCTCTCCCGCCTCCCTCATCCTCCACCATCTTCTTTTCTTCCTCTCTACCACCTCCCGTCCTTTTTCCCCCTTTCCTCACCACTTCTCCTTCCTCCTTCATTTTCTCTTCCTCCTCCTCCATTGCACACGCGCGCGCCGATTGGAAGGGAGTTTAGCAAAATAAGTCGTGTCCGCCTCTGAGTGCAGAAAGGGTTTCAAGGTGTTGGAAACCGTTCCGCACTCCCAGCTCTCTGGAGTGATGGTTGCCATCTCTTTCTTGTGTTTGCGAACCAAACAAGGTAGGCAACTTGCTCGAAGTTAAAACGGTACTGAGGCAGATCCAAGAGTCAAACTCTGGACGTGGAGTCTGGTCCGGGAGATCCCCCTCTGATGCCAGGAAGAAGTGAAACCCAGGAATCTGAGACTTGGGCAAGCTATGCGCCTTTTGTGAGTACCGGGTGGTAGAGTGTCTGGACCGGGTTAGAGAGCTGCTTGCTCTGAATATGACGGTGTTCACAGGTGCTCTCTGATACTGCATGTGGTATGGTGCTAGGGTTAGGTTAGAAACACAAAGGATCTCTGTTACTTAGGGCAGTGTAGTTTGATACTTGGATTTTGTTTAGTAGATGAATAATAAGATTTGAGAACATCTGATTTTTGGTAGCAGTGTCTATAATGTTCTCTTTTTTCCTTTCCTGCCAGGATTTTACTTTTAACGGAATCTGCCGTGTGACCTGCCTCTATGGCCAGGTGGAAGTATTGGGTCATATCATCAGCCAAGGCCAGCCTGCCCAAGATGTCTTTTCTACCTATACCCATGCCTCCCTGACTATCAGTGGAATTCAGTACTCAATGCCTGACAAAAGTGAAAAGGAGATCAAAAGGGAAATACGGGCTCTGCTCAAGCCACATGTGAAGCTGGGTAATTTTGCTGAGGGCCTACCACAGTTAGGCTAATAGTTTTAGATACCTGGTTTGGTCTAGGCATTGTGCCTTGCTGTGCCTGTTGAACCTTCACCGCAGCTTTGAGAGTTAAAGTACTATCACCATTTTATACACGGTGTGCGGTTTCCAAGACCATGAACATAATAGAGAGCAAGCTTGGATCGGTGTCTCCACCCAGATTGGAAAACTCAGCCCTGCTGTGTGACAGAAGTTTACACTTTCCCAGTGGCGATGGTAACCCTAAGGGGCCTAGAATTGAGCAGAATTGCTGCTTCTGAGCTGGTTTATTTTTCTCTTTGTAGATGACAGATACTGGGCAATAGAGCATTTTACTCCTCTGTGTTCCATTGTGATGCTGGAAAAGCTGAGAACCTCCACTATAAACTTCATGAGCAGCTATCCAGGCATAACCTCTGTTTTCCTGCAAGAGGTAAAACCACTTTCCATTCAGTTTTGATCATCACTTGCACCAAAGTGGGCAGACAAAATGACTGTATAGGAAGCTTTTTTGGAATAATCATTCTCTGTCCTTTGGTGCCAGCCTGAGCTATATGAGACCCTGTCTCCAACAAATAAGAGAGACATTCGTCCAGTTAGAGAAGTCAGTGAGGCAGTAGAATGTGTGTCTGGAGGAGAGGTCGCAGCTGTGAACTTGGGAACCTGGAATGGAAGATAACTGAGTGTACCAGATGAGTCAACAGGGAACTGATGAGATGAAGGGAGAAGGGTGAAGGAAGTAGCAGGGGAGCCTAAGGAGTGATCACAGTGCTAGAGAACTGCAGGTGGGAAGTGCTGCTGATTGTAAGAGGCGGCCTGAGAAAGGGCACTATAGAGAAAAGGGTCTGGGTTGGACTGCATTTGGTGGGTTGCTGGTGGGCAGCGTAGTTATGTGGGCTTAAGATAAGGCTGGAAAGAGGGCTCGGTGGTTAAGAGCACTGCCTGAGTTTGACTTCTGGCACCCAGGTCGACAGCTCAAGTTGCCTTTAACTCCATCTCCAGGGGTTCCAGCTTCAGCAATCTGGTCTGAATGACTGCCCCTGCACTCGTGCACGTGCCCACACGCAGACACGGACATATGCACATACTTAGAAAATAATAAAAATCTTAGAGTCTGGGAACCCAGAGAAAGAACAAGCTAGCTGAAAGACTTCCCTTTAAGGGGAAAGGAAGAAATGAAGCTGTGCTTCCGTAGCAGGTGGAGCAGGCACTTGTGTGTTAGTCCTCAGGAGCTCGCTTGTTCTTTGCTGCGGTCTCTGACAGGCCTGGAGTTCACCAAGTGTGCTAGGCTGGCTGGCCAGCCAGTGGGCCCCAGGGATCCTCCTGTCTCCATCTCCCTAGTGCTGCAATTAGAAGCACATGCCACCATACCTGGGTTTTATTTTGGTTTTGTTTTGTTTTTTTTTTAATTAACATTTTATTTTATGTGTATGAGTGTATTGCCTGCATGCATGTGAGTGCACCCATGTTGTGCAGTGCCGCAGAGGTCAGAAGAGGGCTTTGGATTCCCCTAGAACTGGAGTTAAGGACGGTTTGGAGCCACCATGTGGGTGCTAGAAATCGAACCCGCGTCCTTTGCAAGAGCAGTCAATGCTCTTAACTACTGAGCCATCTCTCCAGCCCCTTTTTTGGTCTTTTTGAGACAAGGTCTTCCTGTAGCCCCAGCTAGCCTGGAACTTTGTAGACCAGACTGGCCTCCAACTCACAGAAATCTCCCTGCCTCTGCCTCCTGAGTGTTGGGATTAAAGGCATGAGTACCAGGCTTATTTTTTATTTTTATGTGTATGAGTGTATCGTATTGCCTGTGTATATGTAAGTGGAACCGGGTCATGTTATGCAATGCCTGTGGAGGTCAGAAGAGGGTATCAGATTCCCTGGAATTGGAGTTATAGACGATTGTTAGCCGCCATGGTCTTCTGCAAGAGCAGGTCAGTACTCTTAACCACTGAGCCATCTCTCCAGCCCCAATATCTGGGTTATTTTACATGGGCTCTGGAATCAAATCAAGGTCCTCATGCTTACACAGCAAGGACTTTACTGATGGAGCTGTCTCCTAGCCCTTAAAACAACTCCTTTCTGTTTGATATTGAAGCACAGTCTGATGTTGCCCAGGGTGCTTGTACTAAGAATTTCTGACCTCAACATGTTAAGTATCAGGGTAGCAGGTGTCACCAGAGGACACACGTAGGAGAGGGGCAGAAGCCTGTGGATTTCTTCTGGTTGTTCCTGCAACACTGGGAAAGTGTGACAAGGTCTGATGTGGGGAGCAGATAGCAGGCAGACACAGAGCTTCAGTAGAGTGGACAGGACTTGCTGGTGGCTGAATCTGGGGATGGCGCCAGGCTTTTTTCTAATTCTTTTGTAACAGCAGTATTGTTTATTAACTTAGAAGCAGACAAATGGACTGTTTTTCAATTTTCCTTAAAATATAAATGGTTGTATTTCAGAACCCTCCTTTGCGGATTAATTCTGAGTATGTAATTTTGAAGACTATTGGCATCAGAAGACATAGGAGGAAAAGAGGCATTTGTTTAAGTGAGAGTGCCCTTTCAGTACTGGAGGAGTTAGTCAATGTTTGCTGTGGTGAGTAGTACATTTTCATGGGTTCTGCTGTGTTCATCAAAGCCTCAGAATTACCATTCATAATCAGAGTCCTAAAAACGATGGCTGACTCAATGGCATACTTTTTATTTTACCTCTAGAAGTAGATGGCTGCCCTGTTATCCTGGTTTGTGGAACTCAGGACATTGGGAAGTCAACATTCAATAGATACCTGATTAACCAGCTGCTGAATAGGTGAGTGTGCTTGTGCTCTCACTTAATGTGTACGAGTGTTGTCTGTCTGCATGTATGTACGTGCACGTCTGTAATACAGTGCCTGCGGAGGTCAGAAGAGGTCAGATCCCCTGGAACTGGAGTTACAGACAGTTGTTACCTGCCATGTGGGTGCTGGGAAATGAAACTGGGTCTTCTGCTAGAGCAGCCAGTAAGTACTCTGAGCCCCCATGGAGTAACACTTTGAATGGAGAAACTTTTTGCATTGTCTTTTGAGGTGAGGTCTTATTCCGTAGCCCAGTCTGACCTTAAACTTGTGGTTCTGCCTCAGCCTCCCCAGTGCTGTGATTGCAGGGATAAGCTGTCATGCCCAGGCTTGATAGAGAAGCTTGCGAATGTATCCTGACTTCCAGATGGAGGTTGTGTACAGCTCCGCAACTGTCCTGCCAGGCAGTGACATTCCTAATCCTCCTGTGCTTCACTGCCGGCTCCCTCTGCCTTGCCTCAAGAAGAGGAGGAGCTTGGTCTCGGATCTGTATTGGTCCAGGTGTCATTTCCAAATCCCTAAGTCCTGTTGTATTTTGAAGATAACACTGTGTGCATGTTTGAGTGGACACTAACCTCCCCTGCACTGTCCCCCTGAAAGGCTACATAGGGTAGACTGTGTATTGCATAAAATCCCTCTTTTCTGTGAAGTTAGTAAAGATCTTTCTTTTTAAAATTTTTAGTATTTCCTGTGTTGACTACATGGAATGTGATCTGGGGCAGACAGAATTCACTCCTCCTGGTTGTATTTCTTTACTTAATATTACAGAACCAGTTTTGGGTATGTATTATATATTTAATGTCTTTAATATTCAGGAGTGGAACTGATCGTTTTCTTTCGTGTAAATTACAAACACATCGTTCCTTAATAGTAACATCAACAATTAAGAGTGTTTAGTGCGGGGCTGGAGAGATGGTTCAGCAGTTAAGAACAATGGCTGTTCTTGCAGAAGACCTGGGTTGAAATACCAGCCAGCACCCATGTGGCAGCTAACAACTATAACTCCAGTTCCAGGGGATCCAGTAGCCTCTTACCTCCTCGGGCATTGCACAACAAGGATGCACTTACCTACGTGCAGGCAATACACACGTACACATAAAATAAAAATAAAATATTTTTTTTTAAAAAGAATGTGAGCCAGGTGTGATGGTGCACACCTTTGATCCCAGCATCAGGAGGCAGAGGCAGGCACATCTTTGTGAGTTCGAGGCCAGCCTGGTCTACATAGTTCCAGGACAGCTGGGGCTACAGGGAGACCCTGTGTGAAAAAGACAAAAAAAGAAAAGAATTATAAAGTATACAGAATAAATGTAAAAAACAGGCTGACCTCAAACTCACAATCTTGCTTCAGTCTTTCAGGTGCTGGGATTACAGGCCTGAGCCACCACATTTGATTGAGAATCCCTTAATTTTGACCAAGTACATCCAATTGGGGCGGGGGGGCGGTGCCTGTGTGTGCAGATGACTTCGGTGGTAGACATTGATCTAGCACTGAGCTTCACCCCCATCTGCTCCTAGTGCTGCCTCTGGTTTGGGTGTCACTTCATGAAACCTTGCCAAATTCGGTGTTGGGAGGATCTTCTCTTTTTTTCTTTAACGAGTTACAGCTTTAACATTCACGTTTTACTCTTTGATCCATTTTGACTTAAGCTCTATATTTTATAAGGGTCTGGCTGTTTATTTTGGAGAGGGGGAGGTTCTGTATCCCAGGCTGGCCTGAAAAGGAAGCAGGAGAGGAAAGAGGGAGTGAAGTTCAGCTTATATTGCTGTTGCTTCTTGGCCCTTGATGAGGGAGGGAGGGAGGGAAGATTAGTTTGGCTCAGAGTTTTGGAAGTTGCAGTCTATCATCTTTGGTGCTGTTGGCGAGGTAGACCATCAGCATGCCAGAGTATGTTGCCAAGAACTGGACCCGGTGACTTCTCTTCTCCTGCAAAGTAGCATATCCCAAAGTGGTGCTATCAGCCGAGCACTAAGTTTTCACTACATGAGCCTTCTTTCAGCTGCGAGGAGATCCGGTCTCCAACCTCACTGGCCCCAACTCTTAGGACACCCTTTCTGGCCACATGGCCTACCTGTTGTGGAATCTGTCCCACATGGCCTTGCACCCACCACACTGACCAAGGCCTCCTCTGCTGACCCGGTTACCGCCTGGTCCTAGCTGCTGTCCTCTGTTCTGCTTTCTGACCTGTGAGCTGATGGACCCTGGCCTCACTGAACAGCTTTACTCCTGCAGGGGACCAGAAGAACAGTAAATAGTCTGGGCTGAGCATGTACTGTCACTGTCAGGAATATGACCTCTGAAGCAGTGTTCACATGCTGTCTGGCCCTGCTCCTTTCATGTCTTAGTTTTGTCATCTGTGAAAGTGGGCATAGTCTTGCTGCCTGCTCAGGAACTTTTTTGAAAATGAATGGCTTCATGTGAAGTGCCTAGAGCAGACCAGTGTATTCCGGCAAAAAGAAAAAAAACTTATTTTTAAATTATTATTTATTTATTTATTTATTTATTTGGTCTTTTTGAGACAGGGTCTCCCTGTAGCCCCAGCTGTCCTGGAACTCACTATGTAGACCAGGCTGGCCTTGAACTCACAGAGCTCCTCCTGCCTCTGCCTCTCAAGTGCTGGGACTACAGGCGTGCGCCACCACGCCCAGCTTTTATTTATTATTTTTATTTTACATGTATGCGTGTATTGCCTTCTTGTACATAAGTGCACCCATGTCATGCAATGCTCCGAAGGTCAGAAGAGGCTGTGGGATCCACTGGAACTGGAGTTACGGATAGTTGTTAGCTGCCATGTGGGTGCTGGGATTTGAACCCAGGTCTTCTGCAAGAACAGTCAGTGTTCTAATAGTTTAGTTTACTGTTGTTGTGTGTGTGATGCTGGGAATTGAACACAGGGCCTCACATATGGTAGGCAAGCACTACCACGGAGGTATATTTCCTAAACATTTTTCCCCCTGTTGAGACAGGCTGCCTCTGCCTCCTGAACTGTAATTAAAAGTGTTCAGCGGCACTTTAAAAAAAAAAAAAAAAAAGCTGGGCGGGGTAGCGCATGCCCTACAGTCCCAACCATTGGGAGGCAGAGGCAGAGGCAGGCGGGTCTGTGAATTTAAGGCCAGCCTGGTCTACATAGTGGGTTCCAGGACAGCTGGGGCTACAGGGAGACCCTGCTTCAAAAAGACAAAAAAAAAAGTTACTTTGAGGATGGGCACATATGCCAACATACACACACATGTGCACGGGGTGTCTGAAAACAACTTGTAACAATCAGGTCTCCTACCATGTAAGTTCTGGGAGTTGTACTTGGCATCACCTGATACCACTGAGCCATCTTGCCAACCCTGCCCTTCCAGATTTATTTTATTTTCAATTATGTGAATGTGTATATCTTTTGGGGAGATACTCCTTTTAATTTACGTATGTGTCATGGGTGGGGTGGATATGTACATGAATGTAGATACCCTCAAAGGCCAGAAGAGGTTGGACCCCTGTAGCAGGAGTTAGAGGTGGTTGTTCTCCTCTCTACATGGGTGCTGGGAGTGCAGGTCTTCTTTACACACTTAATCACTGAGCCCTCTCTCTGTAGCCCAGATTTCCTTAAACTCCAGGCAGTTTTCAAGTGCTGGGATTGGAGGTGTGAGCAAGTCTGTATCAGACTGGAAGCTTAGCTGTTCCTGTTGGTGGTCTCAGACTTCCTAAGGTCTTATTAGGGATGGTGATGAAACAGAATCCTCAACACTGTGTAGGTAGCCATGGCTTGGCAGTACTGGGGACAGAAACACACCGCCAGAGCCATAAGCATGTTAGGCAAGTGCTTGGTCACTTGTATCTTTACTACCTTTCTCTTCTAGGACCACCTTTCACCCATCAGAGAACACCACAGAAGATGGTGTATTATGGGAAGACTGCTTGTAAAAATGACTGTGAGAATTACATTGAAATAGTAAAATATGTGTTCAAATCATACAAGAGAGAGTCCCCACTTATCATCAACACAATGGGCTGGGTGGTAGGTAAGTCCATGTTGATCTTGCAGTACAAGTACCAATGTGAGTGGTGCATATTGCACACTTACAGGTACCCTATGACCTTTCATGTCTGTGTCTCTGCCTGTCTGTAATGTTTAAATAATATATATCCTCTCGGCTTGTCTTTTTTGAAGCAGTTTCTAGCCCTGACCTGCAAATTTTTATGTAACTGAGATTGACCTTGAATTTCAAATCCTCTGCCAGCACCTTACAAGCGCTAAGATCGTTGCCATCACTACCCATTTTGTGTGGTACTGGCGATCAGACCCAGGCTTCCTGCATGCTAGGGAAGCACTCTGCTGAGTGTGCTACATCCAGACATCTAGTGTGGTTTTGTAGGGTGGTTTGTTTGAGACAAGGGATCACTACGTAGCTCAAGTGTCTTCATACCTGCCGTGTAGCCTCAAGGCCCCTTTGAACTTGCCCTCTCCCTGCCTTAGCCTCCTGAGTGTTAGGACTGGGCACGTGACATCATTGCCGCATCTTCACTGGTGTTGATCATGTTTTCCATTTTGACATTAGCTGATCTTCTGATTGTGATTTACATTTCCTAATGATGCATGGTGTATGTTCTTTCGTGTACTTTTTGACTATTTGTATGTCTTTGGGAACAGTGTTTCCCACCCCACCCCATCATTCATGCTATGGAAGTGGTCTGCTTTTGGGGGAGGATCTTCTTGAGATCACAGAGGTCAACCTGCCTCTGGCTCCTGAGTACTGGGTTTAAAGGCCAGCACCACCACACTCATCAAGTGCTTATTTTAATTTTTAAAATTTGCCATGTCAGTGCACGACACGGTGCATTTACATACATGCAGACATAACACTCATACACATAAAATAAAAATAAATAGGGCCCAGTGTGGTGGCGCATGCCTTTAATCCCAGCACTTGGGAGGCAGAGGCAGGTGGATCTCTGTGAGTTCAAGGCCAGCCTGGTCTACATAATGAGTTCCAGGACAGCTGGGGCTACAGGGAGACCCTGTCTCAAAAAAGACCAAAAATAAATAAATAAAAAAATTTTTAAAAAAACCAACCAACTTTGCCATGCCAGGGATGGTGGTGCATGCCTGTGATTCCAGCACTTTGGAGACAGAGGAAGGTGGGTCTCTTGGGTTTGAGGCCAACCTGGTCTACATACGGAGTTCCTATCCCAAAAAGACCCCCAAAAAAGATGTTATTTTTGTTTATGTGTGAGTGCATCACCTGCATTATATGTAAGTGCATCCATGTTATGCAATGCCTGCAGAAGTCAGAAGAGGGTGTCAGATCCCCTGGAACTGGAGTTACGGATGGTTGTGAGCCACCAGGGTTCTTGACTGCTAAGCCATCTCTCCAGTGCTCTGCTTTTTTTTTTAAATATTTTTAAACCAAATCAGTGTGGGTTCTTGGCTCTTGAGTTTCTATGTGTTCTAGATAATTAGGAACCTGGTGTTTTATTGGTTTTTTTTCTCTTCTGATTAATCATTTCTTTGTCTTTGGATAAGTGTGCTAGTTTTTCAGTGAGACATATCTTTTGGCTTGGTTTGATTTGGTCAGGTTAGTTGCTGGATTTGTTTGTTTCGGTCTTTTTGAGACCGGGTCTCCCTGTAGCCCCAGCTGGCCTGCCTCTGCTGGGATTAAAGGCATGAGCCACCATGCCTGGCTGATTTTGAACTCAAACTGACTAGCTGAGGATGGTCTTGAGCTCCTGATCGTCCTCCCTCCATCTGCCAAGTGCTGGATGATGGGTAGGCAGCCCCTGCCTGGCACTGGCACTCTTGTCGTTCTTCACTCACAGATGACGGGCTCCTGCTTCTCATTGACCTGATCCGGCTGCTGTTGCCCAGCCATGTCATTCAGTTGAGCTCTACCCAGTGCAAATCCATGCCCAGCCTTACCCCAGAGTACGTTGATGCCATGGATGGCTTGTACACAAAAAGCAAGATCAAAAAGAGATACCGAGGTTTTGAAATTCCAGAGTTTGGAGACAATTTGGATTTAGATGAAGACAAAGACTCCAGTGCACTTCACATCTTTGCTGGACATAAACTGATGTGTGTTGATTCAGAGTTTTCAAGTAGCAAAAATTCAAGAAATAGGTAAGTAAACTGTTACCTGACTAAAAAAATAACCTTCCTTCAATGGAACAAGGCACCCTGTGCTCACTTCTTTACAAAGAGTGCATCCTCCTTGGGCTGGAGAGAAGGCTCAGTGGTTAAGAGTGCTGACTGCTCTTGCAGAAGACCCAGGTTCAATTCTCAGCACCCATATAGTAGCTAACAACTGTCCGTAACTCCAGTTCTAGGGGATCTAATGTCTCCTTCTGACGTCGGAAGGCATTGCACAGCATGGGTGCACTTACACACATGCAAGCAATACACTCTTCATA